AAGACATGTAACAGTGTTCCTGCTGCACTTGGATGCAATACATTCTCCTGTACTGTCTGTGGTCTTTTGTACAATTCTCGAGTCTCAAAAGACATGCTTGTCATAGGTATACAAATAATTAGTTCGTGGTCGTCGGAACTCGATGAGAGAATCCGTCATATATATATATATATATATATATATATATATATATATATATAATCACGGTGTTGCGATTCTCCACCTGATGAGATGAGTAAAAAATGTTTTCATTTTTTGACGTTGAAACAAAAATGTACAATTTTGTAGTGGATATATGCATGTTCTAATGTAACACTGCATAAGATAAATAAATACTTTACTTTGTGTATTGAGCACTATTTTTAAATTAATGTTTTGAACGCTGTAATCTTACTGTTCGTTCCCCTTCCCTTTGATATATATATATATATATATATATATATATATATATATATATATATATATATATATATATATATATAAAATTATTTATTTTTAAAAATTATAACATAAATGTGTTATAAAATCACTTGAACATTTTCAAAAGCAGATAATTGCTTAATAATTGGTGCAGTTTTCAGGCTCTTAAATCCATAATTTTCGCGTCCACACAATGGTTCCTTGTTTTGAAGAAAGAATTAAGCTTTCCATCTCATTCTTCTGATAAGGTTTTCCGTTTGCTGAGTTAAATGGACGAAATAATCCCTTTTGTTCGTGGTGGGAATGTTCTTAAGTGATAATCCGATATTGATTCTATCCATAGTATAAAATAGAATATACAGTGCTCGACAGTAATAGGAGCTAATATCCAAATTGTACACCAATTATATACTTGGGTACATATATATATATATATATATATATATATATATATATATATATATATATATATATATATATATATTTTAGAGTGATCTTTTGTACAGATATTTAATGTACGCATTGTCTCCAAATTTTCATCTCGCCCTTTCTCTCTTTCACACATATACACTCAAAAATTACCAATAAAGAAACACTGTCAATTGTGATTCTTTGTAAATACCTATATCTACTTTAAGAAGTGTTACTAAAAGTCTGGAAGAATTTAAAACGCTAAAACGAACAAAATGTGTCAAAAATTATTTTTATTTCCGTAGACTTTCTGAGTGGAATAATTTTAAGGGACGTGTGATATATCCATCAGGACACATTTAACCTGACAGATTTTTTGTATGTGCATCTTTCTATATCAGTATGTGAATCTGTGTGCTTCTGTTCGTGCATTTACATAGAATTTTACTGAGTAAAAAAAAAAAAAAAAATGTTACTATATTTTCGTTTTTAATTTATTTTGTTCCAGCGTATAAAATAACAACTCCGCCTTTTTCGATTTATTTTTTGATTCCGCTTGCACTCACCTGGCAAAAGTCCAGGGGAAGAGAAATAGCTTCAGAATGTTTTTCTGGTCAGTCCGCGGGCTGGCCCATTAAGGCCCGGAATGACAGGTGTGGACAGACGAATGCGGTAGGAATGAGTGTGAGCCAGGAGGCAAAGTAAGGAGTTGGAAATATTGACCATTTGTCTGCCAAGTAAAAACCTGACTTGCGTGTAAATGGTACGAGTGATTGGGGAAGGAAAAGCAAGAGACAAGGTTGAAAAGTTATGGCTTCTGTCTAATTAAGGATGAATGTCGTACACTGGTAGGCAAGTGGATGGTGGCCCGAGGATTTAACGGCTGATTGAATAAGACTGATGAGTTACTCTTTGGAGAAAGAAATAAATAAAGAAAGAAAGAAAGAAAGGAAAAAAGAAAGAAAGAAAGAAAGAAAAAAGATAAAATGAATACAGAAAGAAAGAAAAAAGGAAGTAAATAAAAAGAATGAAAGATAAAATGAATATAGAAAGAATAAAAATGAAAGAAAGTAAGAAAGAAAGAAAAAGAAAGAAAGAAAAAGATGGAAAGAAAGCAAAAGAGAGAAAGAAAAAGAAAGATAAAATAAATAAAGAAAGAAAGAAAAGGAAAGAAACAAAGAAAGAAAGCAAAAAGTAGGAAAAAAAGAAAGAAAAAAGAAAGAATAAGAAAGAAAGAAAGAAAGAAAGAAAGAAAGAAAAAATGAAATAAATAAAGAAAGAAAGAAAAAGAAGGGAAGAAAGCAAATGAGAGAAAGAAAAAAGAAATAAATATAAAACAAATAAAGAAAGAAAGAAAGAAGAAAGAAAAAGAAGGAAAGAAAGAAAGCAAAAAGTAAGAAAGAAAGAAAAAAGAAAGAAAGAAAAAGAACGAATGAAAGAAAGAATAAAAGAATGAAATAAAGAAAGAAAATGAAGAAAAGAAAGAAGAGGGAAGGAAAGAAAAAAGAAAGAAAGTGAATACAGATGTTAAGGAAACTATAACAAATACTACTACTACTACTACTACTACTACTACTAATAATAATAATAATAATAATAATTATTATTATTATTATTATTATTATTATTATTATTATTATATAGCCTACAAGGAAATATTTGGCATTCATTGCCTGAGCTGCCTGTATTGTTTTTGTTAGAAATTTGTAAAATCTTTCTCTTAAAACACTTTTTAAGGAAAACATCATTCATGTTCAGCAGTTTCTATCATATATCCAGCATTGATGGGAGTTTCCTTTCTAACCTTTGATTTGAAGTGATGTGGAATGCTAACATCTTGATTATGTTATTATTTCCTCTCCGACTTACATGTGCTATTCATTTTTGTTTTTGCTGCTGTTGGTAGTCCTCAAGTGATGTAGAATCTGTTATTCGGTTCTTTGTTTGTGATTCTATAGCGCCAGTACACAATTTTTCTCTTTGCTCTTTGCTACGGGAAGGAAACGGAAAGAAAATGGTATGAACACCATCCAGACACGGTTACGGAGATAGGACCTGTTACAATTCTATGGGACTACACAATACACACTGACAGAACAATCAAGGCCAACCGCCCAGATATTGTTATTAAAGACCACAAACAAAAAAAGTGCCTTCTTATTGATATGGCAGTCCCTTCTGACTGCAATGTATCTTTGAAGATATTCAAAAAGCTGTCAAAATACAAGGACCTTGAAATAGAAATCTCGAAAATGTGGCATATGGGAATATCAACAATCTTTGTTGTAGTTGGAGCCCTAGGACTGGTTGGAAAAGATTGCAGTAGACTAATTGAAGGGATTCCTGGAAGTCCATGCCTCAAGGAGATACAAAAAATTGTTCTGAGAAGTACAGCCCAAACTTTACGAAGGGCTTTATTTATGTAATATTTTTTTTTTTTTTTTTTCAGTAGAAAGTGTCATGATGCCATTTCTAACCTTAGGTCCCTGGGCGGGACCCGGAAAGAAATGTGTAAACGCCAGAAATCAAAGAAAATAATAATAATAATAATAATAATAATAATAATAATAATAATAATAATAGAAATAATGTTCCGATAGAGTCATTGATGGGATCCCTGGTAGCCCAAACCTTGAAGAAATACCAAAAATTGTACTCACCAGTACAACTCACGCATAAGTAAAATGTATGCAATCTTAGGGGGGGTAACAAAAATGCTGAGTGAAAAATGTCACGAAACCTTGAAACCATAAATCTCTCCAGAATCTATATTTCAAATTTATAAGTCTACAATTCATCTATGTATTCAATATTGCTGCCACATCTCGCCTGCTGCTCTTTTAATACATTTAGATGATATTGATCCAAAGAATCTTCAATATTATTGGTCCTGACCTAGCAACTTAATCTATTATTCGTCCATTAAAAACTGTTGCTATATCTTGTCGGGTGCCCCTGCCATTCATCTCGAGGTTCTTGACAAAATCCAAAGAATTATCCTTAATGCAACTGGTCCTGAATTGGCTTCTCGACTTCTGACATTTTCTCACAGACGTGGTGTTGCTTCCCTCTGCCTTTTCTATAAATATTTTCATGGCGACTTCTCTGAAGAGGTTTTTCCCCTAATACCCTAATACACTTACTTGTTGTTTCTTTCCACGTACTTCTCGAGAATGGAATTCCCTTCCACTCACATGCTTTCATTATAATTTCAATCTTCAAAACTTTAAATGTAACTTCAATCACCATCTTCTGTTGCCTTGACACTTGCCTTTTTTTTTGTACTTTCCTCAGTCCCCCCTACACCTACTCTTTTTTCTCATTTTCATTCTCCATAACCCCCTGCGTGCTAGTGTCACTTCTGCCTTGCTTGGGTTGAAATACTTAAATAAACTACAAAGGACAGGAAATTGTGGAGAGCTATGATCGCCAAAGTGCACATAGAAAAGAAGAGAACTTTGATGAAAACATACTTATGTCTGTTTATAGGTTTATTTCGTCATGTGTGAGCTGTATTTGTGTGTAGATTTTTTTTGTATTTCTTCAACGTTTGGGCTACCAGGTACCGATAAATGAGTCTATCGGAACATTATTATTATTATTATTATTATTATTATTATTATTATTATCCCTTTTTTGCCTTCTGTCTTTATTTCTTTTGTCTGTTTATAGGTTTTTAGTTGTTTGTTTTAAAACGATGTTCACTCTGTTCAAGGCTCGAAAGCCACTCGACGTAGATAATTACAGAGTAAGATGCACAGCATGCAGATATATTTGGAAAATAACAGTTAACCCTAGACTTGAACAGGTTAAATTTATATTGATCTAGGAAGCATCCACTTGGGAGTCGTTTTTCACAAAGCAGCAGTTCGTAGAAGAAGCTACCTCATAGATTAAATTTAGGTTCAGTTCGAAATTTCTTGAACGTTAAACAGATCGACAACTATATATAAAAAAAAAGATCGGAGAGAACAAACGACACATTTCCACGGATGGAATCTACACTTTCAGGCACAGGTATTGAACTCACACTTACTACCTCACCAAATTCGCGAACCAACGACTAGATTATTGTCCCATAGGACAATCATGAGTGCAGAATATTGTGCCTTACATATAACGTGTGCGTGTACGAAAAAGTAAATAAATAATATATTACTTTCCTATAAACAAATAAAGTAAAATATTTCTTTTCAATAAACACATCACGGAGAACGAGTTACCAAAGTGCACGGCTCGAATCAATATGGAAGGTAGGAAGAGCCAAAAAAATAAAGAACTGAGAAAGGCAGGTGGAATTTTAAACATAATCGATCGCTTGTCAGTAAATGGTAAAAGTATTTTAGCTGGAGAGTCTAATTTATCGAGGCTGTCACAAGCCATTAGAGAGTTGTATGGTCATTAGGGGTTGTCAGATGTCTTAGTGGATTGGCATTGACCAAGGTTGTCTAATTCGTCTAATTTTAGAAGTAAATACCAATGCATTGATGTCTGCAGTGTGTGTGTGTGTGAGAGAGAGAGATAGAGAGAAAAAGAGAGACAGACAGACAGACAGAGACAGAGATATTGAAAGTCGTCTACAAGGTTGAAGAGTAGTTAAATTATCTTAAAAACAGACAAACTACGAAAGACAGAAAGAAACGAAAATAATACAAGTAATTATAATAGTTATTTACTACTTAGAGTTCCATGCTGAAACGAAAGCACCAGGCGGATATATATATATATATATATATATATATATATATATATATATATATATATATATATATATATATATGGCTTGTTGTTTAACAAACCAATACCTAAGGAAAATGAGGAATAAAAAAAAGAAAGAACTAAGAAATTGAGGCGAAAAAACAATCGTCAAAGACTTCAAACTCAGAGTCCAAGAAAAAAAAAAACCCTCGAAAGCGATTAAAAGTAACTCCGTAAAGTGCTCAATACACCAAGGAGTGTAAACTTAATATAAACTTAAAGATCCAGGTAAACCTACCTAGGTTTCACGTAAACGGATCGTCAGGGTAAAACTGGACCACTTTAATATGACGATCCGTTTAGGTGAATCCTAGGTAGATTTACCTGGTTCTATATAATATATATATATATATATATATATATATATATATATATATATATATATATATATGTATGTATGTATGTATTTGTTCTGGGCACGTTTTGAAATGTTTTTTAGTTTTTTTGTCTTTATTTACTAACTAACTAAAATTAATTTAGTCCCTCTGTTTTGAAAATTCTGGATAAATTCTTTAATTTTTTTTTAATATATACATTTCTTAGCTTTACTTAAAATCATTAATCATTGTCTTGTTTACACCTTACATTAAATTGAGGAAATATTTATTTGATTACCTGCATCCTATCTAGTTATCTACTCATTTGATTTACCCAGTTCAATACCTGCACACACACACACACACACACACACACACATACACACACACATATATATATATATATATATATATATATATATATATATATATATATATATATATATATATTTATGTATGTATGTATAGGGTGTTCCAATAACTTGGATCAATTTTAAATGGGAATTAAGTTTAAGCGTCTAATGATTTTCTTCTTTTTCTTTCAAATTTAACAACTTAAGGCTTTGACAATGTCAACAAGGGAAAGATTAACAATCAAACAACGTGTTAAAGTTTCAAGAATGCAACTGGAAAAATTGTTCGTAAATTCAAATAAACTGGGTTGATAGCAGGTGTGAAAACACCACTGCTTGCTCGTTTACGCCGTTCAGCTGAAAACATTGCTGTAGTGCACGAGAATGTGGTCGAAAATCCAGACACCTTAATTCTTCATCGGGATCAAGAATTGAAACTCTCCACAAAAACGTTACATCTAATTTTGACAAAAGACTTTTCTCTACACGATTACAAAATTCAATTAACTCAAGAACTGAAACCTGCTAATCATCTGGAGCGCCGTATACGAGCAATGACAAGCCGATGAAGATTTTTTTACAAAAAATCCTCTTTAGTGATGAAGCCCATTTTCAATTTGATGGATTCCTTAATAAGCAGAATTGTCTCACTTGGTCTGATGAAAATCCAAGGAATATTGTTGAAAAGCCACTGCATCCACTGGTGGTGTGCATTTTTTGATAGCGGAATCATTTGGCCGTATATTTATAAATTTGAACGTCCATTTTCGTAATAGGCTTCGATAACTTTAACACGTTGTTTGATTGTTAATCCTTCCATGGTTGAAATTGCCAAACACTTAAGTTGTTAAATCTGATTGGAAAAGGGAAAAAAATTAGACGCTTAAACTTAATTCACATTTAAAATCGCTCCAAGTTATTGCAACACCCTATATAGATAGAGAGACAAAGGTTTGATACCACAGAACTTGTAAATTGATTTGAAACAAACGCATTATTCCTTTAAGGTAACCTTTTCTGACATCATCTCAACTGAAGAATCGTTGGTAAATTAAAAAGAATACCAACAATATCCACAATGTGACAAACAGCATAAGAGAAAGCGAGAAACTATGAATAAAATATCTATTATTATTAAAATGGGAGGGAAAATGATAGTGGAAAGAAAATTGCTAAAAACCAGAATAGTTACTGGTGAGCATAAAAAGTAAATTCCAAGACTCATACACCAACAAGTAAAGACAGAAAGGCCAAATTTCTCTTTCTGTCGACACATAAACGGTCGTTGCAATTTGAGATAAACTACTACTAAAATAGACCATGCTTTACCTAAAATGGTAAACGTCGAATCTGTATATTTGCTAGTATATTATACCCCCGGACAATTACACGGTGTAATTCTACTAGGGTTCGTCTATGAAACTCTGGCATCGGAATGCTGAAGGTAACATAAATCAGCTAAGTGATAATTTTTTCCTGGTATTAATTATATATAAATACTTATATTAATGTAGAAAATATAGTTTCGTATTACTTGCCCCTCTGAAGATGATCACGTAAAAAGTTCGAAAGTACTTGGGAAATGAAAATATTAAGTTGGTGCAAAAATAATGACGTAATAATGTCGTTTTTTGACGTTAAAAATACGTCAAAAAACGACATTATTACGTCATTATTTTTCCACCAACCTAATAAAAGAAATTTAAACAGCTATAGCACATTATTCTCATCCTTTAACATCAATTCACGGAAGGTTATTTGTGAGTATGAACGGATTCTATTAAAAATTAGAATATATATATATATATATATATATATATATATATATATATATGGTTGATTTGTCAGTAAGGAGTCTTCCTGGTGTTATTGGAATGGATCGCGGTTGATCCCAGCGTGCGACACCTTTGGAACGTGTCTGAAAACCATACCACGGGTTGACCCAAGCCTTGTGAGGGAAAATTGGGTAGACGTAACTCTTGATGCCCGTCGATAGCTATGCTAGCACAAAGCCACAAGTCATTGTGGCCGAGGGCTTGAGTGTGCTGGCCTTGTTCAAATGGTTGATCACCCTAGCTAACACGCAATCTCCCAGAGAATGTAACTAAGGTCTGCTCAGCATTGTTGCAGTATAAAACACAAGTGGGCTCTGTGGGTGTTGAGCCAACACAAATGTGTCTGAGTGAGCATCTGCAATAGGGATTGGGTAGCCGCCCTCGTAGACGAGTATTCACGAATACGTGTGGCCAGCTATTACACGCGCGTTCGCGCATACACACACACACACACACATATATATATATATATATATATATATATATATATAGAGAGAGAGAGAGAGAGAGAGAGAGAGAGAGAGAGAGAGGGGGGGGAGATAAAACTTCCATATGAATTATATTTGATGTCATAGTTTAAATTATCAACGTCGTGAACACGCTAATACAAATATGAACTTAGAGGTTTTTGTATTAGGTCGAGTTTTAAAAGGCAATTTGAGGAGACTAAATTGAGATTGATAGAAATGGCGGGAAAAGATGGTAAACATGCAAATATTGACGGATAAATGGATAAACGTTATTCTGACACACACAGACTGAAATGGAATGACGGAATAGGAAACATAGATAGATAGATAGATAGATAGATAGATATGAACAGAATGATATAGCTCGATATATACGAACAGATCGATATATATATATATGTGTGTGTGTGTGTCTGTGCGTGTATATATATATATATATATATATATATATATATATATATATATATATATATAAAAAGAGACCGAGATAGAGAGAGAGAGTGAGAGAGATATTAACACACTCTGATAGATAGAGGTGAAAATTTGAAATAGATAGGTATAAACATGATGCGATAGATAGATAGATAGATAGATAGATATGAACAGAGTGAGATAGCTCGATAGATACGAACAGATTGATAAATATATATGTATATATACATATACACACACATATGTATATATTTCTATATCTATATCTATCTATCTATCTCTATATCTCTCTCTATATATATATATATAGAGAGAGAGAGAGAGTGTGTGCGAGATTAACACATTGTAATAGATGGATGTGAACAATTTGAAATAAATAGATATAAACACGATGCGATAGATAGATAGATAGATAGATAGATAGATAGATAGATATTGAAATATAGATATTAACAAATTGATATATATATATATATATATATATATATATATATAGATAGATAGATAGATGTGAACAGAGATAGATTTATATATATATATATATATATATATATATATATATATATATATATATATATATATATATATATATATATATATATATATATATATATATAGAGAGAGAGAGAGAGAGAGATAGATAGATAGATAGATAGATAGATAGATAGATAGATAGATACTGGAATATAAATATTAACAAATTGAGATAGATAGATACGTACATATATATGAACAGAGAGAGATAGCTCGATAGATACGAACAGATCGATATATATATATATATATATATATATATATAGATAGATAGATAGATATAGATAGATAGATACATAGATAGATAGATAGATAGATAGATAGACAGACAGACAGATTGGATTTTAGAGATTTCAACAGTAATTGAATGTACTTGCGAAATTCTCTACGTTTCTACACTTAACTGTTTTCTTGTCTGACGCACACCATCAAGCGGTTCGAGTTAAACTTTCAATGCTACAGTCGCAGCTGATAAGAGCGGTCCGCAGAGCCGAACATCTTGTTTCTTTCACGGCGCTAAGACCCTTGTCACCATTTCTAGAGGTCGGAATGGGATTCAGCCCAACCACCGTACCCGACCCTTCGTAATACCTGGGAGTGACATATCAATTATTCGCAGAGACACGCCATCGGAATGTCTGTGAACGTTCGAATAACGTACGCCAAACAGACTCTTGTGAAATCTTGACAAATCATAGACTGTGTGATAGAGCAGAATTGGTTAATATGAGAGGAAAGGTCAAGGTGTTCGATAAGAAGTCGCTAAAGATTTGAAATTTAAAAAACTCTTTTAAAGACAAAGCGCATAGTGGATGATGGGCGGAGAAAAACTGAAGAGAAAAAAAGATAGATGAAAGAAAATGTTTTGTAAAGGTAACATTGCAATGTGTGAAACAGAAAAATGTGAAAAAATTCGAATTTCCCTATAAAGAAAATTTCATAAAATTTTCATTTTATTTTTAATTTTTTAATTTTTTAAAAATTTTTAAAGCTTTATTTAACTTACTTCACTTACTTTTACTTTAATTTCTTTTACTTTAACTTATTTCGTTTTATTGATGTCAAATGTTATTATTATTATCATTATTATTATTACTACTACTACCACCACTACTACTACTAATTTAAATATCATTTTTAGGGGTGTAACCTAGTGAAGGTTACTGAATAGAACAATCAAACGAATGTTGGTAAAGAACGATAATACTTAGGACACGAACAACACATATAAGATTTGCCAGCGGCGCGTAGAAGTACTCAACTGATAGAAGTGAGTCAAGTGAATTCCACAATGAATCTACAACCACAGGATATCTACCAACTGCTTCGCGCGTTCAGATGTGGCACATGGGGTATCCGAACCCGTAGGCTCGTCCAAAATTTCCCCGTAGACCCCGTATAATACGGGGTCGAGTAGCTGTTTCCCGAGACGAGATTCTGCCCTTCGACATAGCCTCGTCTGCGGATCCTCTCTCGCTGGAAGCAGAAAGTTTGACCAGCACAGCTGGAGACGAATCTCCAACTGCAGGGTATCTACCAACCGTTCCTCGCAGTTCCTACCAGAACAAATTGCAAAATTACGAAGATCGAAATTACCAGGCGGATGTTGAAAAAATCTTAAAGGTACCTATATTCCGAAATTTGAAGCAGTGACCAAACATAATTTATTTTTAATTTTTAACTTGTCAGACTGAACACTTTTCAATAAGCTCTCGTTGTGACTGGCTTTTTTTTCTTTTTTTTTCAAATAGATATAGCGATTGATTCATACATTTTTTCGCTGAGAAGCATTTTGCGTTTCGTAATTTTCAAACCAAAATCGATGTCAAAATGTTGAAATTTGAAAATTGAATAAAATTTTTATTAATATATTTAATTACATTTCTCTCCGTCACAATTAATAAGATTCTGTCCTATATATGAAATGAAAGAAGAGCTAGGTGAAGTTTTAGAATAGGCACAAATCTTGAAATAATCATTTTTAATTTTATTTTTTTTAATATTATCATAGGTCAAGCACTGCAGATCAGGAATATGGATGTTTTTATAAAATCTTTTAAAAGTTAGTAGTGTTTGCTATGTAAATTAATTATAAATTTATCTCTCACACACGGAAGCACAAAAATATACTCATACACCCGTTTCCAATCGGTGACAAAACAGTATTAAATCCTTTTTTTATATATATATATATATATATATATATATATATATATATATATATATATATATATATATATACTTGGTGTAACTGCAAAATTGTCTAATTTTTAGATTAAGTACTGAATTGTTATATTTTAGAAATGATTAAAGATATTTTACTAGAATTTTCCGATGTTTTCATAACACTATTGCTCTCTACTTTGAGTAATAAAAATGTATTATTACTCTCTAAGCTTAACAGAAGTATCGTGATGAAATCGGTCATAAACCAAAATGACATAGATCGTAAATATGATCATAAACGAAAATGACATGGATCATAAACATGATCATAATCGAAAATGACATGGATCGTAAACAGGATCATAAGCGAAAATGACATGGATCGTAAATACGATCATAAACGAAAATGACATGGATCTTAAACATGACCATAAACCAAAATGACATGGATCGTAAATATGATCATACTCGAAAATGACATGGATCATAAACATGATCATAATCGGAAATGACATGGATCATAAATATGATCATAAGCGAAAATGACATGGATCATAAACATGATCATAAACGAAAATGATATAGATTGTAAATATGATCATAATCGAAAATGACATGGATCGTAAATATGACCATAAACGAAAATGACCAGGATCTTAAGCATGGACATATACGAAAATGACATGGATCATAAAGATGATGATCATAAACGAGAATGAATTAGGATCGGAAGCTCATGAAGTCTTGAAATAAATTTCAAATATACATACATACATACATATCCCAGAATCATTTTCCAATTTATTCAAGATGGTCTTCGCCCTCTCTAACCTTCTAACTTTCGATCCTGGAGTGAAAAATTGTCTCACACGTTTCACGTACGATTTAATTTTCAAGAATTTTTCAATGCTCATACCTGAAACTCCTCTTTCACGTGCCTAACGTCTTATGAATTGAGTTGGATCTTTTCTAATGGATCTCTTTAGCTCTACGTTGAAATGCTGATACCTTTTCCTGTTGTGACCTCATGATCCCGTTTTCTCTCTTCTGTTCTCTCTTTGTTAAACGTATTCCCTGTACGTTTAATGGTTCTTGAATGGACTTTGAAGATGGAAATAAATGTTGGTACCATTACTGAAGACCTGAATGATCTTTTCCTCTAACATTACTCAGTTGGGAAGAGCGTGGGTTTGACACTAAAGAATTTTAACCTGTTCTATTTTTAGCTGAATATCTCAAAGTTTTTTTTCAATGATTCTTACGATAAATGGCTAAATGTCTTAGTTAAAAGCCTGGATAAAAGAAACTCTATTAGTTTAGTGTTTCTTTTAAATATTAAACATTTTGTGGGATGGAAAATTATGCTGTAACACAATTTGGACAATTTTGCTGTTATACCTGGTATATCTGTCAAATTACCTAACCTACCTAGCTACCTACCCACCTAACTATATATATATATATATATATATATATATATATATATATATAAGAAAGAGGTCGTAGCGGTTCCAACGAGAGAAAAGTATGTATATTAAAAAGAAGAGAAGAGAGGTGCCGCAAACGTTTTTGGTTGTAATGTGGATTTATTTAGAAAAAAATATTATGCTTTGTTTTACACAATTTTACTACACACGTTTTTGGTCACGCGACCGTCTTCAGGTAAAATCGGAGATTTCCACATATTATTAAAATAATTAATTTTTTCCTTATGTTTTTCAATGTTAACTATTCTCGATATGAGACATTCTCTGTTTTTGTGTTAGTAATCCGAATGTCTTTCTTGAATTGGCAATGAAGAGTTCTGCGCGAAGGGTCATAAAACAATTAAGGTTGGCCCAAGAGAAATGATGAATTACTTATCGGCATTTTATCTTTTACTGACCCCTATGTGTTCTTGGATCTGTTTCCATTTTTGTGTGTTTCTGTCAGCTTGCGTGTATATATGCGTGCGTATATTCCCCCTCCATACATATACTGTCTTACTACGAGGAATTAGTAAACTCATTTGTACATATACACGCATACACACATACGCACATAGACACCATCCCACCACAAGGAATCAGTACATACACACACACACACACACACGTACTTCCTAAGTTGTGTGGGGTTTGGGTGTGTGCTCATGAGTAGTTCCCCTGTTTTGTCAACATGCGTATACATATATATAAATGTGTGCATACATACATATATATATATATTCTCGTGTCTCCTAAACTTATTATAGAGTGCCATGTCTTCCACGTGCTGGAAAGGGTCGACATATAGAAGAATAAGAAAAGGTGTCCCATACTTTAGGCCTTGTCTCTCATGTAAGCTATGCTTAGAGAACCACGATATTTTTTTTTGATTCTTAATGTTTCAGAAAGCAGAATTCTTCTTTTTTATATATAAGCGACATCAGATTTAATCATATAGATAAAATCCAAGATTACACTTGTCAGTAAAACAATAAGCAAATTTACTTAAATATGGCGGTCATTATCTGATGGAACGAATCGTGTTATCTTTTTCTTTTTTAAACATTTTTTACATTCTTAATTTTAATGATTTAAGAAATCAGGAATGTTTTGTACATGTCACAACAAATTTAATGCATAGGTAGAAATCCTAGATTACTCACGTCTAGAATATTATCAATCTAACTGCAAATTCATTAAGTATGGCCGGCATTATCTGTTGTGAAGAGTAAGCACATTAATGTTTCTAAAGTATTAACGTTGTACAGTGGACAATATAAACAAAAAAAGTCCTCACGTTTTTAATAGACCATCACCAGAAATATTTTTTTAGAATAGACACTGCCATCAAACATAAGCAATTTGCCATTTAAAATTTTTTTTTATTTTTGTCTTGTAATTGCCCTCAGAACAAAAATTTCTGTTGACTATTTAAACAAAAATCCTGCCTGATCCAAACTTGACCTTTTCGAGTTTTTCTTTAATCTCGCCCAAATTCTCACAGCCCACTTTGGCATACGGCCATATCGCGTTTAATTATGGTTTCTTTTGGTTTGTTTTACGGCCTATGAACACATCAGTGGGTTATTTAATGCCGACAATATTTTTATTGCTGTTAATATTTTTTTTTCAAAAGTCTATTGCCGGTAATATTTATTTTTCAAAAATCTATTGCAGGTAATATTTTTTTAATGTATTACTGGTAATATAGTTTTTTCAAAAAAATACATATTTGTATTGCTAGTAATATATATATATATTTAAAAATGTATTGCTGGTAATATTTTTTTCAAAAAATATATTGCTGTTAACATTTTTTCCAAAAATGTATTGCTGGTAATAAAATTTTACTGTTAATAACCTTTTTCTTAAAAAAATTATTTCTGATTATAATTTTTAGAAAATTTTATTTCTGGAATTAAAACGTATTTTTACACTTTCCTAATTCTTTGACTCCAGTTCGGGCGTTAACTATTTGCCCATAGCTGGGACACTGACATGTGCTAACCGGCAATTCACGATGAACCTGGGAACATGAGCAATTAAGAGCTGGTGCTACGCTCCTCAGAACCTCCTTCCTTGCTGTCGGATGTAGTCTATCATCTTACCCAGGACACGGATGTAGCTTATCGTCATACCCAGGACGTTTGAAATTTGTTACTTCAACGTGGTGTAATTTTTACAAATATTGTCTCTCTAGATCAATTATTTCTAAGTAGTGAGTTCGATACTCACTGGGTGCCCCATAGTTTTGTCCTTGTGAGTCGCCTAAGCTACGTTTACTAAATAACTGTGAACCTCAACTTGGTGTAATGGTAAGAAGTCTGTGTATCAATTACGACAGAGTAGTGGGTTCGATCTTCACTGGGCGCCTCATAAAGCGTTGCACGACATCTAAGCTACGCTTAATAAACTGCTGTATCAAGTTGAAATTACGGAAGAATCTTACATAGAAAAAAAGACACAAATATGGAAATGTTGTAAAACTGGTGAAAAGTAAAATATATAAATCAGGATTTAAGCCCGAAGGAATTATCTATTTTTTAATTTAGATTTAAATAATTTTATGAATTTTACTTATTATTTTTTTTAATTCTTCGCCTTTCGAACTTAGGAATTTGAATGGTATAAATTATTAATAGTAAATGCTAATATTTAACGCACAATTTTGAATCACCACAATGAGAACGCGAACTCCAAATCGGTTAGAACATATTTGCACCTAAGAATGCAAGACCTGCATGAAATTCCCAGTCTTGCTATCGACGTTCGATATTTATATATATATATATATATATATATATATATATATATATATATATATATATATATATATATATAAATATGTATGATGAATATATATATATATATATATATATATATATATATGTATTGATGAATATATATATATATATATATATATATAATTATTAATTTAAAAATATGATTCCAAAACGCTACATAAGTGTTCTCATGTTTCAAAACAAGAGTCGAAAACTTCAATATAATTATTTGAATTAAATTGAATTAAACGAGTTCTTTCCTATTCTCTGTACATTTTTCACACACACACACACACACACACACACGCACACACACACATATATATATATATATATATATATATATATATATATATATATATATATATAGTTAAACCTAGAGAGCCAGACAAACCTACTAAGGTTTCACCTAAGCGGATTGTCAGGGAAGGCTGGTTGACGATCCTTAGGTGAAAACCTTCGTAGGTTTGTCTGGTTCTCTAGGTTTAACTAGGTCTGCTCTACTCATTGTATTGAGCACTTTATTTAGTTGTTTTGGGTACTCGTATCGGATTTTTTTCTTTGGGCCTTGGACTTGCATGCTGGACGATTATTTTCTGTTAACGTACATGTTCTTGTTTCTTTCTTTTTATACCTTTTTATCCCTTTGGTATTGGCTTGTTTATTTGCAAATCAATACACCGAAGGTTTTCCGAGCGAGTATAGTTTCTTATACTTATAAGATTTCTATTAATACATACATACATACATATATATATATATATATATATATATATATATATATATATATATATATATATATTAAAGAAAACAACAAGTGTTGTTGAACCAACGAACAACTTGTCAAAACCGAAAATTCTTATCCAGGTAACATCTGGAATAAAAACAACAAATACTGAAAAAACAAAGAGAAAAGAATGTCCAATGGTAAAGTTACCTACTCTGGAAAATAAAGTGATCGAATTACCTCGACGGTAGAAAAGTTCACTTATCAACATTAAATTCTATGTACGGATGGCCCTTGTCATAACTCGAGTTTCATGCTCACGCGATCTTCATACTACTTGCAGCTGGCTTACGACGAAAGCATATACATACATGCATACATACATATATATATATATATATATATATATATATATATATATGTGTGTGTGTGTGTGTGTGTGTGTGTGTGTGTATGTATTCGTTGTTGTTCGTTGGTTCAACAACACTTGTTGTTTTCTTTAATATATATATATATATAAACAGTATTAAAAAAACATTTACTGGCCTGAATATCTGAGAAATTTTCATAAAAAATATTCGTCCTCCCACAGGAAGCACACCTTTATCCTATACGGAAGCCGTCATATAACATGACGTGCCTTTAACCGATTTGGCCACAGAGGAGCGTGCGGTTAGCAAGGTCGATTTTACTGTATTTAAACTACAATCTTTCATGATTCTCTCAGTACATTCGTATCTGCTCATGGCGTATCCAAATGAAACAAATGATGTCACACATTATGAAATGGACAAAGTTTGACAATTATTTTAAGAGATTGTTATGTTTATACATTCTTTTTATAGATACAACTGTTTAAGTAAATGCTCTGCTTATAATAAACAGTATTAAAAAACATTTTTCTGTGAAAATTTCTCGGGCATTCAGGCCGGTAAATGTTGTTTAATACTGTTTATTATAAACAGAACATTTACTTAAATATTTGTATCTATAAAAAGAATGTATAAACATAAAAATATCTTAAAATAATTGTCGGACTTCGTCCATTTCATGATGTATAAAAGTTAAATAATTCAACAAGATCATTTACTCACTTTTCTTTATTAGACACTGTTGAAACTTGACTAATGCATGGAATAATAATGCAACGCAAAATGTACTTAGAACAAAATGTATTGAAACAAGAAAGTGCACACAATATTTACATATAGTCCTTTGTATACTCCTGGTAAGACCGTTCCTGGAGAATGTGTTGACTGAGTCGCAGTCGGGCAGAGTCTCTGGTTGAATCTCTTGATTCCTCCCTCTCTTCCCGGTACCAACCATATTTATATGGTCGGTACTCCACTATGCAAATTAGGTGGATCCTACCACAACAGACACTGAATTGCATCAGTTATGTGTGTAAGTGAAAGTGCAAGTAAATTAAGCCAATTTTTGAGTTTTTTTCTTATCGTCAGTAAGTCGCTTGATGCCAATTTTAATCTTACAAAGAATCGCGCAGAAATGACATGTAATGTTCCGTTCGTTTTCAAGGAAAAAACGTAGACAATCCTGAAATAACCGAAATAGCTTTCATAATGTTAACGGACCGGAAACTGAAATGAATGCATCTTCACATGCTGAGAAAAAGATCTTAATGTCACTTGTCTGAAAAGATATAGAAGTTCAAAAGTATGTTTTACACATGCTTACCCAGAATGACATAATTGATATATACATGTTTCATATAGTTAAAGGGTTTTGAAGACAGTAGACTAAAGCACCGTGATCAGCTTTGTCACGCTCTGAAGCAGAGAGGCCATCAAAATCCTGCTTTAACAAATTTCATCTTTCACTGGGGCTTTGTCTCCCGTAGCAAGACTGGCCTTGTATCGGTCTTAAGAAAGCACAAATGAAATATAACTATCCTTTACTTGATTTTCTCCACAATATCGCCTGCTAAAGTGTAAAACAAAAGGCATCCTCCAATACTGACCCATATTTATCGTTCCATCATATATATATATATATATATATATATATATATATATATATATATCGTAAAGGTAACAAATCACTTGGTATATAATCCAAGTGGATCTTGCTAATATAAAATATAAAAACTAATCCACAAAAATAGCTCAATGTATATTATATTACAGAGCAAATAATTAATAAACAATAAAACCCCAAATCTCGCCATATGGGGGTGTGACGTCGTCCCCCGGTCGCAGCGTCGACTGTGTCGTTCGATCTCGGTCGCGGCGCAAATTGTGACGTCACGTGCTCCCCAGGCTCTGATATCCTGGTCACGGACAGCACCAATTGTGACGTCTTCGCCGCGGCGTCAGCTGTTCGCTCCTCGCTGCTCCAAACGTGACGTTCTAACCCTTTGGTTAGATTGATACCAGCCTCGCCGTTCCCAACCCGCTTCCAACGCCTGGTTACCAGGGTAACTGCACTGATCTCCAGTCTGCCTACCCACGTTGTGAATTGATCTTAGACAGACGAGATCAAACAGGGGCTGGGGCCGTAATGCAAGTTGAGTCCAACGGGGGTGATAACACACAATTATGTATAAAAGAAAATAAAATAAAAACTCACAAGGTCCAAGGTATCAAAGAAAAAAAAAAAGGTAACAAACTTTTTTTATTTGTCTATTTGCTCTAAGGCTTCAACTTGTACATAGGACTATGTCTACTTCGCGGTTCAAAACTTGTTTCTCGAATCTTGTCAGGGACTGTTTTTCAACACTGGGCGCTCAATCTCGACTTCTTCTCTCCGGCTTGCTCTGATTCCAACTCTGCTTGCCGTCCGCGGCTGATCTTTCGGCGTCCGTTGCTCAAACTCCAACTTCTTCTCTTCAGAGTCTGAATTACTGGTCACTTATCTCCGTCGTCAGTGCGCGAATTAACTTCTTCTCTTCGGCTGACTCTGATTCCAACTTCTCCACTTAGGCCAAACGAGCTGGCCTCTCCTGTCCGCTAGGGGGTGGGGGGCGAACGAATCCGGCCCGCCGTCCGCGGCTCAAAC